TAAACCCTGAACCCCAACACCTAAACACTAAAGCCTTCGGGCCACAGGGCTTTGAGGGCTTTTACTGTTAGGTGTTTTGGGTCTGTGTGGTTTCGGCTTCAGGCTTCACAACTTTGGGCTTTTAGGCTTTAGGGTTTAGGGGTTTGGGGTTTTGTGGCACGTGCTGTCTCGGGTTAGGGTTTAGGGTTTAGGGTTGAGGGTTCAGGGTTGAGGGTTTAGGGTTGAGGGTTTAGGGTTTAGGGTTGTGGTATAAATATCATGCTTTTACGTTTCTGCGAGAGCGCCCACGGGGCTTGGAAATTGGACTCCTAAGCGATTCGAACGAGGGCTCACAGGGGCGAATAAACGGGAAGTGCGCAACTGGTAACACTATCCCCTCGTCGTCCATAACACTCTCCCCTTTTAGCCCATAAACAGAAACACTCTATCCAACCCCAACAGCCCAAGCCATGAATCTGCAGCCGAAGTCATCAGAAAGAGTTTAGGGTTTAGGCGTTAGATTTGTGGTTTCACTGTCTAAGCTGTAAGAGTGTGGGCTTCAGCTTGAGTTGCAGGGGCAGGGTTTCGAGGTTGCTTTTTAGGGGCTGAAGAAGGTTGAACGAAAGTGCGAAAATAGGGCGGTTGAGCTTCTGGGTGTATCGACAGAGTATTCGGGTAAACTGCGCCAAACTACCATGCGGATTGCTCAGGCAATGGTGTCACCACATACCCTAAAGCCTAAAAAACAGCAGAAGCTCTGCAGTGCTCTTGGAGCACCTCTACGCCAGACTCGAAATCCTCGCAGGGTTCCAAGCTATGCTAGAGGGTGACAAGAAGGCCCTAAGACCGAACCCTAGACCATTTAGGGTTTAGGGTTTAGGGTTTAGGGTTTAGGCCGCCTTGACGTCTTGATCGTCGTCTTCGGCATGATGGCTGAGATCGTCTTGGCCAGGATCGTCTTGCACGAGGATTGCCTCCGCCATCACGACTCAGGAAATTCAGGCTTCTGATATCTAGGAGTCCCTTCTTTTGCAGGAACTGAAGACAACGATCCCACTACTTGAGGTCTGTACTGAGAGTTCACATAAAACTCCAAAATCCTCGTTCGCAGAGGCCCTTCAAGTGCCCAAAACCTGTACCGTACACCGGAGGGAAAGGAGTGGCGAACTTCGCCGTCTGCAGGGCAGCCATCCAATGCAGCTTCGGTCGCTGTCCGAAACAATGTCGTCTTCGGGTATGATAGGAGGCTGACAAACTAGCAAGACAGTTCGCCTGTGGCAAATGTATTCTACAACGACAGAAGGGTTAGCCGACAATGTACTGCACCTGCGTGCGATAGGGGATCCTGAATATAAACCACCCCGACTCACAGAGAACATCGTTCGCAGGCAGTTTTTGTAGGTGGAGTTACAAGTGCATTGGTGTAATCAGGGAAATCATACGTATAGGTGTATGTAGTTATCTTGTACCCCTCTCTACTCATTCCCTGATTCTCTAAACCATACAGCCAATTCTGGCCTGGCATAGGTGGCCGAAAACGCGCTAGTGATTGCTGCGGCGCTGACGGCACTGAGCCTGCCCGCGCTGCTCCTGAGCGTCTGAAGCAACTTTCCCTAAGCTTGGGACTAAGTCTGGCTGTAGCGCGAGGAGCTATGGGTTTCGGTTAATGTAGGAACCTGATTAAGAAACCCTGGCCCTATAACGCCAATATATTAGGGCTCATATCAAGAACCCTAATAAAGGCCAAGGGTTTCTTAATTACATTAAGGCGAACTCAGCTATGGGTTTCGGTTAAAGCCAACTCTGAAAGTCTTCCTTCCTTTCAGCTCACCGAGTTCCTCAGTTTCGACATCCTGCCCAAGGCCCTTAATCGAATTTGGTGCTTTTCCCCCTAGACCCTAAACCCTAA